CTGGCGGAGCCGGGGCCGGATCCGTGGGATGCGCAGGATGCGACGTTCGGATCTTCAGAGAAAACAGCTGAGATCCTCTCTTACCTCTCCCCGAGCACAGGTGAAACAGTGCTGAGTTCGCAGCTTCTGGAACAGGCTGGCGAAAGAAAAAATTGGCAGGTTTAACGTTGCATCAATTCAGAGTGTTGTTACATCTTTGAAGTATATAAAACTATTGATCATAAGCGAGGCAATTACTGCTGCTCATATGCAAAGGCACGTGGCAGGCGATGAGGAGGCGACACTGAGCCCACCCAGCCCCTTCACATGGAGGAGACAAAAAAACTCCATCCGAGGGAAAAAGCCACGAGCGGAGGCTCCTCGCACGTGATGGAGGTGTCGAAACCAGAGTTGTGGTGAAATCACGGAAATCGCCAAGGTGGGAACAGTTCTGGACATCCTGCTTCACAAGAGGCTACAACACAGGCGACCTGCGGAGATAGCCCAGTGTACAGATAAAAACTTGATCTCCAGAGGCTTCAAAATCCATCCCAGTCCCATTGAAAACACGAGGACTTCCTCAGCTACCGCCAAACCTCCATCAATCTGAGTTGGGCCTTGAAACAGCTTTAATGATCCTGAGACTGAAGCCCGAGGGAGGGCAGAGCATCTTCCCTCGAAGCAAAACGACCCCGTTGCCTCCCCATCAGAACCCCCTCCCCGTCACTGGGACGGTATCGGTGCAAAATCCGCGCTGGCACAGCCGCTGCGGAAACGCCTCCGCGGTGCCCAAACCTGATCATACGATATTTGGGCAGCAAGTTTTGTAGAGAATAAATATCACACTCCAATTTCATGGTAACTTAGGAGGGTTTACTGGCAAATACCATGGCTTTTACATGGTTCTACCAATTACTGAGCAATTACATGTAACCTAGATCTGGAGGACACACAGTAGCGACATAATATATTCCTCTCTGTGTTGGGAAGAAAAAGGCAGTTAATAGAAAACACTTTTTTTTTTTTTTTTTTTAAATTATAAACCCCTCCACAATATTCCTTTGTGACATTATTAAAACTCCACATCAATACCAAACCCAAAGCAGAGACTGCCGTCCCATTAACACATCAGTTGTGCGATGATCAATAAAAATTTACTTTAAACTGTGCCATATGTCGCTCCCCACAAAGTTTTATTATCCAGATTCATCAGTTTGTACCTCAACCCCCGTGCAATTAAATCCCATTTAGCAGCACCGACCTTCTGATTTGAACTTGTCATTCCTACAGCTGGTTTGGAGTTCAGCAGCACTTTTAAATAATGAAAATAAAATTGTCTGTGAATTAACAGCGGGGTACAGGGAGCCCTCCGCCGGGAAAGCCCTCCCGCACCGCTGCCGGCGGCACAGCTCCGGTGCCGGAACAGGGAGAGGAGGGGTGGGGGGAAAAGAGAGGAAAAAAAGAAAAGAGTGCCGGCACATTTCAACATGTTGTAGCATATTTGTAAACATCGTTAATCACGGATTAGCAGATGGTAATGTTAATTGCACCTGTGGAAGCAACAAGACCTCAAGGTTGATTACATTTACAAACTCGGATCGGGGCTGCGGCGCAGCGGAGGATTCCCCGCTGCCGGCGAGGAAGGTGCCCCGCGGGCGGCGTTTCCAGCACCCCACATCAGCAGCAGAACCACCTCGAGCTTTGCAAAGCCCAAGAAGGTTTTCTCTGTCCCTGAGCCCTTCCAGCCCCAGGAAACCTCCTTGGGACCCAGTGATGGATTTGACGGAATGAGATTTTTTTGTTGTTGTGTTGTGCATAAAAGCAAAATTCGGGGTATGAGCTGAGCTTCTCTCGCAGCCGGTTCGCCCTGGAGCTGATTTTGGGAGAAAAGATTTGTGTTTGTCCTCGTTTGAGGAGAAAAAGGCCAAGGTGTGGAGTGCATCTTCAGAACGAAGGAGGACAAATATTTTGCCACTGTGCTTAGAGACACTTTGATTATTGAGAAATCATTTTCGAAGGGCAATTACTAAATTTTAAAATCAATTTGGTAAATAAGCCTCTGAAAGGAATCCACGACAAGCAGCAGGGAGGGAAGAATTGACTTTCAAATTACACACACACACACACTTTATTCATATCTAAATATCAAAGAGACTGTCTGTACAAACAGAAGTAATCAGGAAGCATGTTTTGATCTTGCTGATGTACACAAAAAATGACAATTAATGTCCTCCTTTATGATATAAAGCCGGGAGTTTTTTACAGTTACATTACAGGCACGATTATAGTCAAGCTTAAGGCTAAAAATAATGAAAGACTATAAAAACTACATTTTAACATTTAAAATATCCAAGAAATTAACTGGAGAAGCAGGCAACGATCCAATTAATGGAGAGCATTTATTAGATCAGGGGCAAATCGCACAGCACAAAGCTCCATCTCCAAAGGCACGAGGGCGCAGAGGTCCCCGTGCTCCTCAAGGATCTGAGCCTGGAGCAGGATGGAGCCAGAGGAGAAGAAGAAGGAGAATGCACTGGCCATGGCATATACATCCAAAAGCAGGCTGGGTGATGGCAGAGTGCCATCCCAGTAAAACAAAGTGGAGCCAAAAGTAACCACTGAGCGAAACGGGCTAAATGCAAAGAGCAGAGGTGGCTGGAGTGGGATTTCCTGCACTCACAAAAGCCTGTACTGCAGCTCTCGCAAAAAAGTCCGAGCTGCAGCCCTGGTTAAGCACACAAATTCCTGCCTCTTAAAATCCAAGCCTCGTGCAACTCCCAGTAAGCCTTGTCTGATACTCCAGCGCCAAATCTGCGGATACGGGGGCTGTACGGGGAAATTCGCAGGGAGTCATGACGGCTGCTGGACTGACGGACAAGCAACCGTGGGAGCTTCAATCTACCTGCTGCGGGCATCAAAGCTTTTTGGGAGCCTTCCAGAAATAAAGTAGTTGCTCCATCGTTACTCACCTGCCCCCTCATCAGAGGGAGCGAGCCGGCACGGCGGAGCACAGTCCCACACACACACACACAAGCTCGGTGAAGTGCCTCCTCTGTTAAAGTACTGCTCAAATAAATCAAAAAAGGAAAAAGGAGAAACTGCAGTTCCTATGAAAATGGGAAAAATACATCTACTTTCCTATAGGTCAACAATAAAGCAATGGCTTTATCCTCAGCCCTGCTGCTGGCACGGAAGGATTCCGCCAGCCCCAAGCGCTGAATCTTTCCTTTGAAAAATGAGCAAATCTGAGCCACGGGCCCCCTCTGCTGGGGCACCCCCGGCTGCCGGAGCTCCGGGGCCCCGAGCTTTATTTCAGCATTAAAACGACAGACACATTCAGCTCACGAAACGCCAAGTGCCACACGCACGCTCGAGCGCTGTCGCCCCAGCAAAGCGCCGGTTCACTCGCCTTCAGCCCTGCTCACACCACGGCTGTCGTTTGGGGAGGATTTGGGTTTTGTCCTTTTCCACAGGAGAGGGCACAGCTCAGGATACGTGCCCCCATGCCAGGCACCCTCTCCATCATGGCACACAGAACCCAATATTCGACGCCTTTGAAAAGCAAAAGCTTTCGCCACAAAGGTGGGCAGGATCCCACCTGCAAACCAGGAGAGCACAAACCTTCTCGTGGGGCTCCCCGAGGACCCCCAGCAGTGCACAGGGGTGGCCATGGCCCTGAGCCACCTCCACGGGCTGGGCAAAGTCCCCGCAGCAGCCGCAGAGCTCCAGGTCCCGTGCCCCCTCCCACGCACCCAAGGCATCCCCAGACCGCTGCCACCCACCACCGCAGCACCCACCTGCCAGGCCCTGCCAGGGGTGCATCTGAAGAACTTCTACATCCACACACCGGTTTACAGACTTCATTTAGCTCACAGGAAAGTCCTAATTAGTCACTCTGAGTGATTTACTTGTTCGTTTGGAAGGGGGGGAGGGGGAAGACTAAGCTGAATTGTTTGAAATTATCCCTAAAGGGCACTGTAAATTAAGTGTTAATGAGGAATCCTATGCAAAGGGCCACAGTAGCTAAATAAAATAATTAAGGTGCTAAGTGATAACATTCATTTGGTTCTCAATGATTTAACCAGCCTGGTTTTCAACCAGGATATTTGCAAATGAAGCCACCCTCACCCCCCTAACGCACTCCATGCCATCAGCAGGGATAGTGGTGCTGGGGCGGCTCAGCATCCAGCAGGATGAGGCCCACCATGCAAAGGAAACTTCCCTGGAAGAAGAGAACAAGCTCCTGATTTCCCTTCCCACCTGAAGGAAGTGCTCCGTTCCACTAATCACGCTCTGGATTTATACATGACACAAAAAGGATTGATTTGAGTCTCCAACCACTCTTTACAGAGGCTTTATTTCAACGGGCTGCGTTTTTCCCCACCACAGCTGTCTCCTAACAGCTCCTGGCCATCCTTTGGCGTGGCTGCAGACCTGGTTCAGAACCAAATACAACACGGTGTGTTTTCGGACATTCGAGCAGCAATGTGCAACAGAGAAACTGCCTCGTCACGAGGAAATCGCTGCCGTGCAGTCCCAAATCCTACCTGGTTCTCACCAGCACCCCCTCGGCTGCTAAGGGGGTACAGGGTGGGGATGGGGCACGGCTGCTCCCAGCGGCAGCACCAGTCGAGCGCTCTCTCTCATCTACAGCCCAAACGCTCTCCACAGCACAAGCGATGTACAAAGTCCCTCGTGCAACAAGCACAAAGCTCGCAGCCATCACCGGGTATTTTACTGCAAAAACTGAAGGATTTGGCTGCTTTTGTCTCCCTTCCTTACAGCTGCTCCTCCAAGGTGTCGGCGAGAGGTGTTACCTAGCACGTGCACACGTCTGACTCCAGCGTTAAGCCAAGGTTCTGGTGGTATCATGCGCCAGCCAAGATGCAGCTCAGGTCTACGAGGCTCTCCCTGTAGCTGGCAGCGATGGTGAAGACCCTGGAAAGAGCACTTCCATATCCACACCGACAGGGCACGGCCACGAAACGCCGAGCAGCTTCCCCCGCCCAATAAAAACCAACTCAATCACCGTCGCTCAGCTTTCGGCTGCAGATGGAGTGCAGGAGAATACCTGTAGGAAAGTAAAAATAAGTAAGTAAATGATCTTTTTTTAAGCCACAAGAAAACCGTTCCGTGGGTGTGGATGTTTGTTTGATTTTTAAATACAGAAATTTGGACTATAATCCCTTTGTGCACCAGAACTGTTTTTACCAGTAGCAACGGAGACGTTCAGCGACTCGATCCCGGGGTGAAGCGCTCTGCCAGGGGGTATGGCCAGCATCCGATGGCACAAGAGCTGCGTCTCCAGGGAAAGTCCGTCACCTTCATTACCTGCAGAACAAAGACACTGCTCAGGTCAGCTCGCAGCCACTGCCACGTCCCTTTTCCCTCTGAGTACAGTTCTTTCTAATGCTCTGTCACAGCTACACCCTGCCCCTAAGCTCACCAGCAACCTCACCAGCTCCCGTGCAGCAACAGCCAAGAACCAACAGAGGCAAGCAGGGCACCTTACCTGCCTTCCCTTCCTGGCCCACTCCAGCCTCCCCAGATCTGTTCTCCAGTATCCAAAGTGTTTTTGAGAAATACCTGTGCAACACGCCTGCACGCACAGCGTAAAGCGCAGAGCCTCGTAGCCCGAGTGCCAAGATCCCTGCACAAGCAGCCTCCGTGCCAGCAGACGGCTGCCCATGCACACAGGCTGCTGCCAGAGGGACAAGGTGGACAAGAGGCTGCAGGTCTGATCTAGTCCAGCAAATCCCACATCCCTATTGATAGTGACGGGTTCAGCCTTTTCAGCACGCAGTACCACCAGCTGGGTGCAACTTGTGAATGCAGACAGTTTAACCAGAGGCTTCAATTGATTAGTTGTTAAACCATCCAACAGCCCTGATATGTTTGGGCTGATACACTGGTGAAACAGAGTTGAAATCTATCCCAGGTCATTAGTAGTTGTTTGACTCTCACTGTCACAAAGGGAAATGGAAAGGGAGAGGCTTTAAACAATCCTGCACGCAGACAAGTGAAAATGCAGAAGACCACAGACCTCCCAGCCTGCTCAGCTCCCCAAAGAATTCTTCCACGTTCATTATTTAGAGCTACACAGGCAGCTACACGGCTGCAAGGATATCCAGCTCACTTCAAAGATGTGCTCACCCTCTGACAAAACAGGCTCAGCACGCAGGAAGCCAAATGTGCCCCTTCAACAGCCATACCCTGACCCCAGCTGAACCCCAGACTCATCCTGGGATGGCACCGGTGGGGCACACGCTGCCTACCAGGCGCTCCGGCGACGCTGCCTGCATGGTCAGTGCTGTCACCAAGACCTTATTCAGCTCACCTAAATTTAGACACTTGCCTGAAGCTTTAACAGCATACTTCGATGCTTTAGGCACTTTCTGTGCCACTGGAGACTCGCTCCTCCATAAGGCAAACGAGCTCCTTGCTGGGCTGAGTTGCCACCAAATTCCTCCTCTGGTGCCTACTTACCGCACCTCCCAGCAGGTCCCCACGTACTGATGTGCGTGACACCCCTCCGACCGCACAGGGGAGGAAAGGGTTATTATTCCCCTTTCACAGGCTGGCAGCTGAGGCCCAGACTCGTGTTTTGCTGGCCTGATCTACCTGGCAAGATGCATTTTGTGTAAGGAAAACACATCTCACCATCACCTTCCCACATGAAATAAGCCATACAGGCAAAAGCATATTTGGCTGGGGTAAACGAACCTTTGGAAAGCCCAAATCCCACCTTACTCCTTACTTTCCTCCTGCTGTAAGCCAGCAGGGCAGGCAAGGCCTGGGTGAGTTATCCAAGGTCACAGGAGAAACCTGGGTGACACAAGGAATCGAAGCCAGGCCCTCCATGGCCCTGCCTGCCTCTTCATTGCTAAACTGCAGCTCCCCAGGGACGCTTCAAGAAAAAAAAAAGTTATCCTACTTTTTCCTGACCCAACACAGAAAAGTTTTATGACTTACAGTCATATTTGCCTCCTGAGCTTCTCAAACCACACCCTCGTGGGACTCTCCAACTGGGACAGCAGCTACTGCCAGAGGTGCGAGGGCTCGTGGAGCAATCCTCTCCTCTCCCTGACAAGGGTGTTACGATTCCTAATAAAGGCAGCAATTTTGCTTCCAGCTTTTACAAAGCTTTTTATGGCTCTGGCTGCTTAAAATAATTAGGAACCATAAATTCAGGGCAAAAAGACTTGCAGAGTGTGACACGAGGGAGGGAGTATTGACTGAATCAGATTAAATCCTAGTTTATACTGGTGAACAAAACACTTCCCACTTCGGATCTTTGACTTCCATCTCTTGGCTTTGCCCCTCACTGACAGGCCTCAAACACCAGAGTTAGAGCTCAGCTGAAATCCAGTGCAGGAAGCTCAAATCCCAGCAGAAGCAGCTGTGCTGGCAGTTCAGAGGAATATGCAAAATGAGCATCTTGATAAAACCAATTCCACGAACAGTCTTAAACCCCAAGCTAGAGACTGAAGATGTAAGAAGAACAAATTACCCAGAAACTCTTCTTGCTCGGACATCTAAGTGTTCCAACTCTGTTCCTGCTCGCACAAGGCTCCCAGCCTCCAGGGCAGCCAGCCCAACTGTCACCTTGGGCAAGGACTCCAGTGCAGACAACACCAAGCTGGACTGTCCAAATCACTCTCCGCCAAGCCAGCGAGGACGGCAGGAGGGTGAATTCAAGTCTGCAAATGCTTCTCTTACAAGACAATCTGTGCCATGCTAGAAAGCTCACCCCCGTGCTAAATTATCTCTGATGCTCTCTGCAGCTGCAGGTACGCTACATATTCAGATCTAGGACGTTTCTTCAAACAACCTCAGCATCAGACGACTGTAATGTTCAATTTTCTTTTCAGCGAAGAGTTAGTGCTCAGCAGAGAGTTGAAATCATTACTGCTGCAAGGTCTGGGAGCTCTCCTCATGCATCTACCAATCAGCCTCCAATCTCCCTTGACAAAAGGATATTTGGACTTTTTCCTGGAGAAATCTCTCATAATTCAAGGTAACGACACCACTGCCACTTCCACCCCCTTCCTTTCTCCTGGTGTTGCCGTCGTTTCTGGGATGCATTTCTTTGTGGTCCATCAACAGCGCTGCCAGCCTCCCTACTCCTCTTATAATATAGCTCCACACATCTTGTAGAGATGCCAGATTTGCTGCGTTGTCTTGTCAGTATTTCTGGGAGTTCAATAAACATTTTAATTAAAGGAATGTCTTCTGAGCCAAGAAAACCGCAGCACGGGGCAGGATTACAGCCCCTTGATGGCTCATCGCCAGCATGACACTACTTCCAAGTGTAAAAGCTCAAACCAGTTCTTGTGCCAGGTGACACGAAGTGGCAGGCTGCAGCACAGCCACACGAGGGTGCCTAGAGCAGCACTCTCGGATGAATTTCTTTCTCTAGCTGCCACGAGGCCATTACTCCCCTTCTCTTCACCTTCTGGGAGGCTGCACAACCCAAAACTCTGTCTACAAAAGACAGTATCTTTGCAAGTATCCCTTACACACAGAGGGGGCAGAAGCAGAGGGCCCTGAAGGCATCACTCAGTTGAGGTGCTCAGGAAAGTGGCACCCATTGCTCAAACGGCACACAGGTCTGGCAGGGAGGAGGTTCCACCTGCTCCTCCCTGATGGTACCACAGCAGCCAACAGCTCCTGCCTTCTCCTAGGCGTAACAAAAGCAGCCACTGACTAGTCTCCGTGGTGGTTTCTGTGCCACAAAGCCCAACTGTGTGTTCAGATCATCCCCTGCAACAGCTCCTCGTGCTTCTTTCCAGACCTGGGCACAGAGATATATTCCTGTTTCTTTTAAGAGGACACATGGACAGAGCAAAGACATGGCACGGCTCACCATTACAGCACCAGCAAACACATACCTCCCAGGTCTCTCACTCAGGTTTGTGGTTTACAGAAAATCCAGGTCCAGGGCTCTAGGACAGGATCAAAAGCGCAGCAGAACACAACACAAAACAACACGCTGTGGCTGCAGAGATCCAGACCAAGAAAACTGCCACCTAGACCCTCTGCAGCTACTACACTCCCTCTTCATCTACACAAACTGGTTTGTAATTGCAATTTCTACTGGGAGGCTTCTCAGCTCCTCCTCTTCTTCTGGGTCCCTATTTCATTTGCAGCTAGAACATTCTAGTACTTCTTGCTCAGCTGTTCTTTTCCAGACCCAAGCGTGATGTAATGCAATAGACCTGCAGCTCGCTTTGGGGTGAAGCATCACCCTGATTCCTCCCTCATGCACGCGCCTCCACCAAGCCCAAAGCTCTGTAAACTGAAATACCTATTACTATAAGAATGGGTTTATTCCACCGAAATTCCGAGCAACTGATGACAGGAACATTTTCCACATCCTCGGGTTTGCTGACCGTTCCCACAACTTCCCAGCCTTCTGCAGTTTTAGCCTGAAAAGGGAAAGGAAACAAACGTTAAAAAATTGCCTACTTTTCAAGCTTAAAAGGAAAACAAGTCATGTATGCAAACACGCTTTTTTTTTTATGTTTTCAGATCAGCTGACTGGCTTTTCTTTTTTTTTTTTGGTATCCCTTGAATTTTTACCACCAAAGTCCTCCCAGTACCAGCACACAAACCTTGACTTAAAGGGAAAAAAAAAAAAAAAGAATTAAAAAAAGTAATTTTCCTTCTGGTGTTTATTCCAGTTCAGCAAGCAAACAAACAGCAACTGAAAAGCTTTTTTGTGTCCATACAACAGTTCTGGGAAGGTTTTTGCCAGGAAAGCATACAAAAAGAGTAGTGTTAAACAAATTAGCATAAGGCTAATCCACAGAGCAATGCAGTGGAAGTTCTGGAGTGCAGGCTCAGCCATCAGAAGCCCACAGTAACATTTTCAACCCCAAGTGCACGTTTTCAGACTCAGATGCCAAAAATCAGCTCATACAAAAAGCTGGACACTCAACACTCAGTAACCACAGAACCAGCCTTCCCTCCCGCACCCCAGTAAAAGGAGCCTTAATTATTTGTCTTTGAAATCTATTTTAACAATAAAAGAGCTGCTGCTTCTTGCCAGCTTCATTTCCTCTGAAATTGGCACTTTTTACATTATGCTGTATCAAATTTACACCAGCCAGGCAATGCCAAGGGTTAGCTCAGTGAATATGGGTCCAATTAAATGAACTACTGCAATGGCTCTAAATGTTAATAATTCAAGCTTTACAGTAACAAAGTGATTCTTCCAGCTGTTTCAATAAAATATCAATGTATTTTATGTATCTTTCATTTCACCATCATTCAGAGCTCCGGCTGCCACACACCTATTATACAACTGGACATGGGTTTTCCAGCAGCAGGGAGGAAGAGTCCAGGCTTACCTCTGCTCAGCCTCCTCGGGGTCACACCAGACTACGACGAGCTCTTCCTCAAAGGGAGGCAGGCACGCAGCGACCCCGGGAGCGCAGACCGAGTGCCTCTGCTCCTCCACCCCATGCTGAACCCTCCAGCCCCACTGCTCCCTTAGGTCTGGGGGATCCCACAGAAACAGGGAAGGGCAGATGAGAGCCTGCAGCTCCCTGCTCCACGTGCACACAATATTCAGCACCGGGTGCCCAGCCCTGCCAGGGCACAGGGGACCCCCAAGCATCGGGGCAGTCACACGGTGCTGTCACAGGGGATGGATGCACTCTGCCAATTCAAAGCAACTTCCCGGGGTTTGTTTCAGTTTAAATCATGTTTTTACATGTGCGTCCCCTTTCCAGCACGTTCCGCAAAGGGCCCTATCTCACCACATAGACAGAGCATAAAGAGATTCCCAGCAGCTCACACCAGCCCTGGTTTCTCATCTCCTCTGCTCTAAAGGCTGCCCAATGCTGCCATCATGTGCCTGGGCCCCAGGATGCTGCCTCTGCTGCACACCAGGCAAGACCTGCTGCAGGCAGCAGCACCGGCTCTGGTCCCCATGGAGGGAAAGGGAGACGGACCCCGTCTTACGGAGCTCACACCCCAAGTACGGGGCACAGACACGGCACTATCCTGCCATCACCATCTTCCAGAAAAACACTTACAGTTATCCGACCCGATGGAACGGGACTGGGGTGCATGCCCATCAGAGGTGGTCCAACAGCACAGACCACCGGCATTTTTTTTGCAGAACAGGAGCACAGGACGCTGCAAATAACTGAGTCCTTTTCCTGTACCTCCCCTCTGTTCAATATGTGCAATATTTGAGGTTTCTTAAAAGGCAAAGGAAAAAAACATGGATCATTCTACCTTTAAAAAGCTCCGGAGATCATCTGTGCTGTAGACATCGAAGGCTTCCATAGCTCCAGAGCTAGCTTTGCTCACTGTCGGAGTCAAGGGACAGCTGCAAGGAAAAAAGTAAGGAAAAGTGTCGTATGAGAGCAAAAAAGAAAATCCAGGGGAATATTTGTTTCTGTATTTCCTTCTCTTGCCTCTGTCACCCCATTACAACCAGCCCACTAAAGATCTCGCTCACTATAGATATATTTTTCCTATGGAGAATAGGAGCATTCAGAAATTAACCCAGGAAATAGGTTACAGCAGTTTTGTGCACAGACCGACAACTGAAACACCAAATGGGTTAAACCAAAAAGTATCCAGGGAGGCCCCTTACCAGCCTGGAGCACCACATCCCGCAGCTTCCCTGTGGAGCACAACACGAAGCAGCAGCTAGCCAGCTTCAGCTCTCAAGCTCAGTCCTAGGAAGCCCTCTCAAGCAGCTGTCGAGCAACGCAGGCTAGAAACCTCCTTGGGAGCCAGCAGGAAAAGAAAGAGAAAAGCTGAAGGAGCAGATAACCAGCTCCATACCTGTTCCTCCGGCTTGTCACCACTCTGTCCACCCCCAAGAAGTACGCGGAGCGCAGCAGTGCCCCCAGGTTCATGGGATCCTGGATCTCCTCCAACACCAGCCAAACCAGCTGTCGGTTCGGACTCTCTTCATCCCCTAAATCGGGCTTTTCGGCTTCCTCCAAACTCTTGAAACGGAGAGGAGTGGCCTCCAAACAAACTCCCTGGTGGACCTGACCTCTGCAAAGAGCATCCAGCTCTCTCCTTTCGACGTGGTGCACGGGGACTCCCCGGGCCATGGCCTTGGGGCCGCGGGGAGCCGCTGCTCCGCTTGAGGAACAGCCTGAACAGGTCCCTTCTGGACTGGGAGAGGGCCACGGCGCACGGCGCGATCCCAAACAAGATCTCGGAGCCTTTCGTCCTCTCGACGGACAAAGGCTTTCGCTCCAGCCGCGGGGAGCCGCTGCTCCGCTTGAGGAACAGCCTGAACAGGTCCCTTCTGGACTGGGAGAGGGCCACGGCGCACGGCGCGATCCCAAACAAGATCTCGGAGCCTTTCGTCCTCTCGACGGACAAAGGCTTTCGCTCCAGC